GTTGTGAGATACCAGCCTCAGCCTGCCCTGGAATGGGCTGATTTTACATAACATGTTTTTGCAACCAGCAATAACATGCCGCCCCTCAGTGTCATGTCTTCCACAAGCACTGACCTCAGGACAGGAGTGTGTGTGCGCGTGTGTGTTCCACGTGTACTCTGCCGGCACTGCGTGTGGAAGGAGTATTAGCTTCCCTCCCTCCCTGGAGAGGCTTGGTTTATATAATCTACTTGTCTCTCAGGCCCATTTAGTTACCGGAAGTGGTCAGATGTTAGACAGACGGGGAACTGCAGCCAGGTCTCAGAGCTCAGGGGAGAATGGTTCTCATGCAGAGAGGTTGGGGTAAAGCAGGCAGGGCTTGGTAGTTCCTGTGTGCCACAGAGGCACATCTGACTCAGGTAGACCAGACACACAAAAAGCCAGATGGGAACCCCAAGGGCTGGTTCTCTCGTGTGGGGAGTGCAGGGGGTGGAGGGGATACTCATACCATATGGACTGATGTCTACATGGGGCCCTTTCAAAACACATAGTAGAAGGATTTGTTGAGCAAAGAATTAAAGCAAAGACCACTGTATGTGCTTTTAAAGGATACATTTCCCATTTACGACTCAAGGGATCTGTCCTTTCTAAAAAGCAAGGAGGGGGTCTTTGGTCTAAAGTCAGAATATTGTCTCCCCTGACCAGGCCACCAGAAGCAACAACTTATACTTTTTCCAGATTTCAGGAACATATTGGACTGGACCTTCCTGTCATTGGGTGCCACTTGTCTTGGACATGCCACCTTTTCCAGCCCTATCTTAACAGATAATGTTTTAGGGCAGCTGTTTCCTTGAGATTAAATGGTGGGGGCCACTTTTCATTTGGATTGATCTTCTCTTCTTCTCCTCTTCCTTCTTTTCCTTTTCCTCCTCTTCTTCTTTCCCTTCTCCTCCTCTTCCTTCTCCTTTCTTTCTTCTTCCTCCTCCTTCTCCTCTTCCTCATTCTCCTTTTTTTCTTCCTCTGAATACATGCCATTCCCTCTACCTGGCATATACTGCCCCCAGATATTTTTCACCTGTTTAATTGAGATATAATTTACATACCATGATCCTCACCCTTTCACAGTATACAACTTTAGTGGTTTTTAGTGTATTCACGAGGTTGGGCAACCATCACTACTATCTAATTCTGGAACGTTGTTATCACCCCAAAAGAAAGGCAGCATCCGTTAGCAGTTGTTCTTCATTCTCCCTCTTGCCAGTCCCTGGCAACCACTAATCTACTTTCCATCTCTGCAGATATGCCTGTTCTGGACGTTTCTTAAAAACTGAAATCATATACTCTGTGGTCCTTTGTAACTAGCTTCTTTCCCTGAACTGATGTTTTCAAGGTTCATTCATGTTGTAGTGTGGCTCAGAACCTCCTTCCCCTTTACGGCCATATAATATTCCATTGAAGAGATGTACCACAGTTTATTTATCCAGTCATCAGTGGACAGGCACTAGGTTGTTGCCATGTTTTCACTCTTATGAACAGTGCTGCCAAGACCACTCACATGTCACCTTACCTCTCACCAATGACTTTAAAGAAGCTCTGCCAACCTGCGTGAGCTGCACATCTGGTGACAGGTGTATGGCTTAGTACAGACTTTCTCCTTTCTTCTGCTGGCCTCACACTTGCCCCCTGTTAACACCTAAGTGTTCTTGTTTTGGAAGGAGTGTAGGCAGTACCCTGAGTTGTATGTGTCTCTTGGTACCAGATACCATCTTGAGTTTGAAAAGCAAGGTGGCTGATTTTGAGGGGTTCTCAGTGGAGCTTGTGTCAACACAGTGCCCCCCATTGCATGCAGGAGGAGGTTCCCAGTGCCAGAAGTTCTACGTAAAAGGCCCCAGGGAAGGCAGCAAGGTTCATTCATTTATCCACCTAGATGCCACATTGAGGCTGAGGCTCCACGTGGCCTTATAGGTAGGACCAACCCTCTATAGCCCTGGCCTGGATTGTTCCTGGAGAGGGAGGACCTCAGAGGGTGCAAGGCTTTGTTCTGTCACCTCTGTCACTTTGTTCCACTGATTTTTTGCCTCACTGTAGTCTGCCAGCCTCAGGCCAAAAAGAGCGTAAAATAGAGCATCCCTCAGCACACCACCCTGGACCACCAGGCACTGTGCAGATTCTCTCTTCCTTCCATGGCCTGAGCTTCCCATGCCCTCCCTCCCTGCAAATCACCTCCTGTTGGACTCTTTTCCAAGGCTGGGGGCTCCATGACGGCAGGTGCCTGTGCTGCCTTGTTTGTCCTGGCACGCTCAGCCCTGAGCAGAGTGTCAGGATCACAGGAAAGATAACGATGATGATGATGATGACAATGATGATGATGATGGCATCGATGACAGTGATAATGACAATGAGGCTTACTATGTATCAGGCATTATCCTATGTTCTTGACATGTTTCTGAACTCGTTTAATCCTCACAAGGATTCTAGCAGCCTGATGCTATTATGTCCGTTTTACAGATATGGAAACTGAGGCACATAGAGGTTAGGTCATCTACTCAAAGTCACACAGCCATCAAGAGGAAGAGCCAGGATCTGACATTCATAGTCTAACTCTAGAGCACAGGCCTCTAACCACTGTCATGGTTTATACACATATACTACACATATGGTTTATACACATAGACTACATGTATGTGAGTTGTTCTGGGATGGATGGATGGATGGGTAAACACAGGGGACGTATCAGTGGCTTCATGAGAAGGCCTGAGTGGCCTGCTGTGCCCCATTGAGTCACACTGAGTCTTAGGACAGGGTTAGCTACCCATGGCTGCTGCCTGTGTGCAGGTAAGGAGGCCAGGAGGTGGATTAGAGCCCAGGGTTGGAGGCCCAGACCAAGGAGGCTGGCACCCCCTAGGCTTGTGTTACACCAGGGGCTATGGCCAGTTCCCTCTGCCCGGCCTCAGAGCGGAGATCCTAGTCCCCGCCGCCGGAGTGGGGAGCCTTGGCTTCCTGTCCATTGTCTCCTTGGGGCACACCCAGCATGTTCCTGAAGTGACCTGGAGAGGCAGGGAGGGAGGGAAGGAGGGAAGGGGGCCAGCCCAGAGCCTAGTCAGGGTGGGAGAGGGGAAACGAGAGGGGAAGACTTGGTGTTTTTCCTTATTTGTGCTTTGTATTAAAGAAAACAAATAATATCCTTTGAGAAAACCATTAAACAAAGCACATCCTAAGGCCCCAGAGGCCCATTGTGGCTGCCTGGAGCCCGGAATTCATTCATGCTTTCTTGGCTAGATTGTTGGAGGCAAGAGAGACAGGGGTGAGAGGAAAGGATTGTTATTAAAATATATTTTGAAATGTGTCGCTCCCTCCCTGCACTCAATCCAGTCCAGGTCAAGTGGTCATAACTCCAAGATCCCTGTGTCCTCCTGAGTCTGTTGTTCTCCCATTACCTCTCTGGGAAGCTCCCCAGAACTGGCCAGTCCCAGCACAGCCAGGGCGGTCAGTTTCAACCACGAGCTTGGGGGCTGAGCCCTGTGAAGGCAAAACAGTGAGACCCTCCTTTATGGAGCCTGAATCCAGAGGGCTACATGTGCCCCACCACAGGGTGCAACCCACAGGACTGCAATCTCTAACTTGCTGTGTGGCCACTCTGGGCCTCAGGCTCCCTGCCTGTAAGGTGGGGAGTGGGCAAAAATGGACCCCCTCTGATCGCTGTCCAGCAGCCTGCACCCTGTGGCTTCCCCTCATCCAGCGCATGCACAGGTCCCTGCAGGTGGGTAGGGCTCACCCTCAGGCTGCAGACTCTGCATCCAGGCTTGTACCCAGGTGTCCCAGGTCCAAGCCAGTCCACTCTCTCCCACTTGACTCCAAGTCTAGGTACCCCCTACTCCACCCCAGGCTGCTCATAATGGAATGGTAGTGCATGGTGGTGTTCTCTGCCATGTCCACACCAGAACACACTTTTCTGTTGGAGGAGGAATGGGAAAAGGTGGGAAGAGCAGAGCTGGCCATCAACCCAGGTTGTGCAAATAGCTCTGCCTGTGATTCTACATTTGCAGGATCGGCCCTGGGTTGCAAGTCGAGGGCCTCTCTCCAACCTTGATGTAGATGTATAAATAGTTGCTGTCATGGTGACAATACACAAAAGACTGTCCTTAGAATTTCCCCCAGTTCCTCCTTTAAAGTTGAAAAAGAAGCCTGGGCAACAAAGTGAGACCCCATCTCTACAAAAAATCAAAAAATGAGCCACGTGTGGTGATGCATGCCTATGATACTGGCTACATGGGAGGCTGAGGCAGAAGAATTGCTTGAGCTCAGGAGGCCAAGGCTGCAGTGAGCCGTGTTTGCACCACAGCGCTCCAGCCTGGGTGACACAGCAAGACCCTGTCTCTAATAATAATAATAATAATAATATAATGTTGAAAAAGTAATTTAGCTATTTCCATGTTTTCCTAAATACTCCCTAGACAATATAGGGAAAGAAGATCTTGGGTAAAAATTTCACTGGGGGTGCCTCGACTAGGTTTAGGAGACAAATTTCCTCTTCACAGGGCTTAGGGTTTTCAGGTTTTACCTCCTTGGTCCTCTAGCAGCCCAGAGAAGAAGGTTAATGTTCCCATTTTGTTATGGAACTTGTGCTTAGAGAAGTAACTTGCCCTGGGATGCACAGCCAGTGAGCTGCAGAACCTGGCCCCAGCTCTGCTGTTTGTTCTCTGCAAAACCTGGAACCAGCTTGTTCATCTTTCCAGATTTGAATGTCTCATCTGTAATTCAAGGACTTGGACATATTGGATTCTAAGGTCCTCATTGTCCCTACTGTTCTTTGATTCTATAATTCCAGCATCATTGCCTGGTAGGAAGTTCATTGACTACTGTTTTTCCTTTTTCAGTCTGGATTTGGTAGTCAGAATCTAGTCTTTCCAAACTCTTGATGTCTTTCTGTCTTAGATGCTGGTGTACTTAGTGCAGTCCCAGAGGTGCTTTGCTCTCTTTCAGGAGTTACTAATGATCCCCTTCCTCCCCGCATGACACAGGGCTACCACCCGATGCCCCATGAAGTGGAGATCGCACACACCAAGAAGCTGTTCCGCAGGAGGAGAAATGATCGAAGGTAGGAGAGACTTCGTCATGAGCTTTGGGTTTTCCTTTCCTGCTTCTGCCATCTGTAGCAACATCAGCTTTGGCCTGCATTTTGCTTTTCCCAGTCACCAGCTGGTCCTCATGAGACGGGGTTGGTGGCATTGTGGGTTGGTTACTGGTTGGGGATTCCCCCATGGGCAGAGTGGCAGTTCCACTTCTCTCGTTGGCCTAGGGGTTGGCTCCCTTCAGGCGTTTGGCCGAGAGCCCACCATCACCACTGCCTCTTCCTGGGGGTCAGGCAGTGCCCAGGCTTTGCAGTTCAGGAGGAAAAATGCTCTTTCCACTGACCTCAAAGCAACAATAGTGGTCCTCAAAAAATAGGACTAGCTGGCTGTGTGTTTTGAGACATGGCCTCCAGGAGGCTCCTGGAGCTCACAAGTACGAGTATCTGTTTTCCTCCTCCCTGGTCACTGGGAGTTGTCCCTCATGTGTGCTGGCTCTGCTGTCACAGGCAACACAGAGATCAGCAATGGCACGTGCTACTGCTCCCAAATTCCTGGGGGAACGCACTTAAACTAAGGCAGAAACTGGGATCTCCTGTGGAGCTCAGAGTCCTGGGTAACAATGGGGCCAGGAAAGGGGCAATGAGGTAGCCCTGGATAGGAACATGCAGCTGAAATTGAGCATCCTGAGAATGTGTGCGTTTATTTTCAAAAAGGCTTTCTTATAAGGGGAGAGCTTCAAGATATATTTTAAGTGAAAAAATTCAGGTGCAGAGCAATGTTTCTTATGTGTGGCCATTTATGCAAAAGGGGGAGTTAGAGTATATTTTTTGCTTGAACATGCATAAATTATTTCTGGATGGAAATACCAAAAAAAGAATGAACAAAAAGGCTTATGCCTGAGGAATTAAAATGAGGTGTTCCTCTACAGGGAATGTATTCTTAGATAAAGATGACAGCTTTTGGTTCTACCTTTAATGAACAGAGAATGTTCTCCAAGGGCCAAGAAACAGCCGGTGGACATGCCTTGCTCAGAACCCTAGGATTGCCTGTACTCAGGCTGGCTGGCTACCTCCTTAGGCTGAGACTGGGGTCTCTGATCCTTCCCTACACATGCACGCCCTGAGTAGGGTTTATTAGGTGGTGACTGCAACTCTCGGAGTGGATGTAGGCCTGGGTACCTAGACTGCCTTGTCATCCACTGATGGGTTAAGTGGATCTGAACATATTCACAGAGGATGGCAAAAGTATAAGTATCTTGGGAAGAAGGCAGGGTCCTGGCTTAGAAATCAGAACCACCAGACACTTTCTGTAGAAGCACCAGGCATCAAAAAGGAACACTGAACAGGGAGAGGTGGACCCAGTCCTGTTCCTGCCTTGACCAGAGTACAGTTTATTGCATCGTGTGTGCTGCCTTTTTGCCGTGCAGCATCACGGAGGCAAATTCCTGGTTTCTGGGTTCCTGGTAGAGGGAAGAAGGAGGCAGCACCCCTCAAGAAGGAATAGGGTTCACAGGGGCCTTGGAGATGTCGGGGAGAGCAAGGGCTTTATGTCCTCTGCCCCTGACTCTGTAGCCTCTGATGGCAGGGAAGACCCAGAGTGTGTGTCTGGGAGGTGTGGAGAGTCCCTGAGCTTCCTGATGAGAAGTCACCCTCTGCCCCACCTCTCCACACCCAGGCAATGGCAGGCTGCCGCCCGGCATCCAAGTCAGCCTGCATGTCCATTTCTGGGCCAGGTCACCTCCCTCAGCAGGAAGACCCGGGACAGTGGCAGGCCTCCGGAAAGCAGCAGCGTGACCCAGGGATGTAGGAAGAGGAGCGTGGCATGCAACGGCTGGGAAGCCGAGCTTCCACTGAGCCGCGCTCACATTCACCAATGCCCGGGTTAGGTCAGCACACCTCCCAAAGGATGTGGACGGGCCAGGGTCCAAAGTGAGGCAATAAAGATGATTAAAGGGGTGGAAAGTATGTCCTGTGAGGAGTGCTGGAGGGCCGGGGCCAGGGAAGAGGAGGCCGGAGGGAAGGAACATCGTGCCGTGAAACTCATGAAAGATTTATATGGAGACATGAGAGGCTGCTGCCTCCATGTCCACAGGGACCCAGACTAGAGGAAGTCAGCTTGGATGGAAGAACAGAGTTTTCAGTTGGACCAAAGACAGACTGATGGAGCAAACATCTTGACCGTTTGGGGCAAGACTATGCAAGTCAGAGCAGCAGCCATGCCTGAACACGGAGCATGTGCTGGCCGGGGCGCCCCACTCAAATTCCCCTTCTGGATGCAGTAGAATCCATTACTCACTCACAGCCTGGAGCTGTCCTGGAGTCCCCAGGTGATGGGGACTTTCAGAAGAGCAGGCAGCCATATAATTTAAGGATCTTTTTGTCTACGAGCAGGAATCTCCTGAGTCCATTTTGGGAAATCATGGGATTCTGACATTCAAAGAGCAGCTGCAGAATATTATCAGGTTGACCCCTAACCTTCCCAGCTAATGACCCATAGTAGTAGCCTTGCTAAGTGTCAAACCTACATATTTGACCTTGGAAGTCCACACTTGTGTGCAGCAGGTTCACCTTCCTAGTATTCTGGGCTTAAACCACACTGGGAGGGGCTTGCATTTCCTGGGTGTGCATGGCAGCAAAGGGAGAAGTGACTAGAATCAGATTTGGTGGCCAAAGGGCACAGCCAGCATCTGTACCATGCCTCTGATCTCCCCCCGACACATGAAAGAAAGGGACCAGCTATATCCCCCTGGTGGCTCGGTGGCTCTCCTTGGAATGGAGAGGAGTCTGTGGCTTTCTATCTTCCTGCAAAGTGGCTGGAGTTGGTGTCCGACAGCTGCAAACTCCAGGCAGCCTGGGCATGTTGCTGAAGCTAGGAGCGTGCAATTTCCCACAGCCTGGAGCAGGATTTTCAGACTGGGACCTAGAATCCTAGTCTTCATCGAAGTCTGTGTCCTTTCCCAGTTCCAGCTGCACTCTCAGGGGTGTTATGTGCCTTGCTGTTTTTATTTTCCACTTGTTTGAGTCTGAGGCTGTTAGCAAGCTGAATAATATAGCAGTTTAGGGACATGCCCTGGAATTAGGAGCTGGATGGAAATCCCACCTCCTCTACTCACTCACGCTATGATCTTGCCAATTATGTCACTTCTTGAAAGCTCTGTCCCTTCTTCTATGAAATGGGTTCACTAGTCAGGGAGCTGAAAGGACCTAATTCTTATAAAGCACCTAGAAACACGGTCTTAGTGCTGGCCCACTCTACAGGTCAGAGGGGGTCCTAGGTGCTCAGGAAGGCTTTCAAGGTAAGTGTGGAGCACAGGTGTCTGCAGTGAGTGGGGAACTTTTGTTCTGTGATCATGGCAACAAACCCAGAAAGCTTTGCCCTGCATTCCCTCCAGGGGCAGGCCGCCAGGATCAGTTGTTCCTTCCCCTGGATCCACTTTTAAAGCCCTACCCACACTGTCAGAGGGGGCAGAGCCTGGGCTGGCAGGGAAAGAGGCCCCTTCAGAGTGGCCACCTGCAGACTCTGCTCCTGATGCCATGGGCTGCGTCTAACGAGTTGCGCATGTCTTTTTTCCATTTTCCAAAAAAAAAAAAATTAAGCTCATGGACAGTTCAAAGGTTTCCTCCTTAAGAATGTTCTTGACATTTGAACAACTAGTAACCACTTGTTTGTTTTTGGAAGCTAAGAAAAGACATTTGCTGATTTCAGACAAAATTATGCATTTTGTGATACAAATGTGCTAAATGAGTGTTCCATGCGTTCCTCAAAGAGCAGCATGCCTTCCGATGGTCTGACCCCACACAAGTTGGAGGCCTGTTGCTTGGAACGGGGGCTGCTAAGGTTCGTCTCCTTCCCCTCAAAGCTTTCTGCCCAGAGCACACAGACCAGAAAAGCAAACTCCCTAGAGGGCCAGAGACCTGGTGCACTGCCCGAGTTGACCCTGAGTGAGGTCCCTCACCGCTGGGGAGGATATTTTCTCTCCCCCACCACACCCTGGCTGCGTTTAAGAGATGAACACAATAAGGCAATGAACGGATGTTGTAGCCTGAGCTCCCTGGGAAGCAGGCTCTGGGACAGTGATTATCAGCAGCTGCTTTTAAAGGAATGCCCTTGGTATCAATACTGGTAGAAGATCAAAAGAAGAAGCGGTATCGGCAGAGAGAAGTTGGGCTGCAGTGCAGTCTTAGAGAGTTCTGAGCCTGTAGGGAAGGTTTTGAAGTTGGGGTGAGTCTTTAAGAGCTGTCCCAAGATGGGGTAAGGGGGCAGGCCTTGATACCCCCATGTCTGTTGGTCATCAGACGGGGACTGCCCGAGGAAGGGAGCGTGACCTTGGGTAGGGCTGCGCTCTTTGCCCAGAGCAGTTGCCCTAGGGGCTGGCAGCTGAGGGCTGTCTGCACAGCACTTCTAGCAGCCGGGTGGCAGTGCCCCACTCCTGAAGGGGATCTGGGCAGCGTATCGCATCAGACACCTCAGTGAAGCACTGTTCAGTTCTCCTACTGGGATTGGTTGGGCTGTACCCTGTGCCATATGCTGTGCTCCCGAGAACACCGGAAGTACAGGGTGTAGCCTCTGTTCTCCAGGGCCTGAGCTGTAGCTTGCACAATGGAGCCTTGACTCCAGAAGCAACCAGAATGCTGTGCATGACTGTCAGGCATCCACGTGTTAACAGGGAGGAGGCTTAGAGAAAGCAGCCATTCTGGGAGATGCTCCAGGATGCTTCATGGAGGAGGTGGGGCTTGAACGACTAGTGAGACTTCCAGGAGGATTTGGGAGATGCGAGGGTGCTGGGATGAGAGGAGCGGCACTTGCTGCCTCTGTCCTGCGATTGACCGTGGCTCTGGCTTGGTGTCCTCTAAATGCTCCTCTGCAGCTAAGCAGGCTCTGGAGCCAGGGATTCCCCACGTCCCCAGAAGTCGCCCCCACATGGCTCCCTAGAAACAGAGCCAGGTGGGTGGTGCTTACAGCGGCCACCACCCCCAATTGAACTACATAGAAGGGAAAAGCCCTTCGGAGCCTACAGGCTCCAGAT